CCCCACTTTTACACACAAGGAAATACCTCTGTTTCAGAGTGAGGTATTTGAGGGTCTGAGGGTGTCTGGTTAACAGCATATTTGGCAGAAAGTTTCTTGATCTTGTGTCTTATGACTTTTTTTTTTTTTCCAATAGACCACCTAATACTATACCTTGGACATGTCTGAAACACCTTTCAAAATAAAGGAAAAGCAAGACCTTTTTAGTATTGTGAGGTAGGTAGGTGGGGTGGATCAAGGATGCATAAGTTGTTAGAGGAGGGAGGAATATGTACCAGGGATGTACTACAAACTCTAGACCTTGCTTATAATCAGACCAAAATATGAGGCTCTCAGTCTTCTTGCTTTCAGAGATTTCTGTCTGGATCTAGAGGGCAAATACCATCCCAAGATCTCCCACGCCAAGGTCTCATTTTTTGCTGTAGAATAAAATCCCCAGTCCTGGGACTCTCAGAGCTCAAGTGAAACTGCACCCAGCTGTTGCCTTCATGCCCTGACTTCAGTGGGAGAGAATTCGGCAGGGCTGGTAGTGGATTCCCTCTCCTCTTCTCATGTCCATGGAGGCTATTGTTCCAAGCCCATCACAAGAGTTCTTAAGCCTGGGATCCCTGAGGATTCCATTTGCCTTAAGCCTAAGAAGTGTAGACATGATCTTGACCTTGTCTTTGGGATTAAAACTTGAGATATGATGAGAGTAGGCTCATAGATCAAAACAGCAGGAGCAAGGAAGTCTGTGTTTCTTTTGCTTTCTGCTTCTTGAAACAGAGTGTTCTTGCCCTTTTTAGCCAGTAAAAGTCTTAAACAGGACGGTTTATGCCTGTGGTGTCTGCATGTTAACCATCAGAAAAGTGTGACCTCAGCCCACTAACCATGGCTCCAATTACCCATTTATGCCCTCCAATGAGGCACAGAGGACTCACCATTCTTGCAATTAGATGCTGACAAATAATTTGCACATGTTATCATGAAGGCCATAGGGGAGGCAGCCCTGGACCACCGTGTCTTGGGAAGGAAACTTGTAGAGTTAGAGATTCATTGGGTAGAGAAGACATTGGAAGATCTCCTCATTTGCCCCCTTGCCTCTAGAGAGAATAAAAAAAGAAGCAATTTGCAGTATGCCAGTTTTTAAAAGACTTGTAAAGAAGGTGATGGTGCTTCATCCTGGAAATCAGTGACCGTGCTGAACCACTTTCATAATCAGGTCTGAATACAATCTCTTCTGCTAGGGTTAGAGTCTGTTCTTCTTGTCCTATCTGCAGGTCTGTTTGCTCCTACCTGGAGGGCCCTGTGCCCGCCTGTCTTACCAGGCCAGTAGGTTTCATGAGAATTTCTTCTACAGCCATGGGGAAAAAGTGCCTAATCTTTCACACCAGGTGAACCTTTTCTGTACTTATTGAGTAATCTTGGGAAAGTTACTTTACTTCTCTGAGTCTGAATTTTCTTTTCCATGAAATGGAAATAATAACATACTGTCTATCTGACAGTGTTGTGAGGTGAAAATACCTGGTACATAGAAGGCCTTCGATAAATCTTCCTCGCAGCCATAAAAAAAGAACAAAATCATGTCTATTGCAGCAACATGGATGCAGCTGGAGGCCATTGTCCTAAGCAAATTAATACAGGAACAGAAAACCAAATACCGCATGTTCTACTTCTAAGTGGGAGTTAAACATTGGGTACTCATGGACATAAAGATGGCAACAATAGACCCTAGGGGGTAATAGTGTCTATTGCATAGAAGGAGGAGGGAAGGAGAGAGGCAAAGGTTGAAAAACTGTCGGTTACTATACCCACTACCTGTGTGACAGGATCAACTGTATTCCAAACCTTAGCATCATGCAATATACCCAGCTAAACAAACCTGCACAGGTACCCCCCTGAATTAAAAATAAAAGTTGAAATTAAAATAAATAAATAATATAAAAAATATTTCTTTTTCTTCCCCTTCATTATAGCACAACAAAGAGCTCAGTCTGTATGAAGCTGTTTCCCAAATGATTTTTTTCTCACATAATTTAGCACTTTATTATATCATCACTGACACACATACATATAGGATACTGCCCTTTATACTAATTGTTTTCTCTCAACAGCTCTTTTCTACAACTAGAACATCAGCTCCTTATGCACAAGGAGGGCCCTTGTTTCTCACATAGAATAGGCTGGGCCCATAGGAGTAGCCAATGATTCTTGTTGAGATGAGACCCTGATTATAGTTGAGAAGGTCTTTATAAGGTCATTTTTCTGTCTTTTTTCTCAAAGTAAAGGAATGTGAAATGTACCTGGTACAATGCTTGGCACATATTAAATGTTGAATAAAGTTTATTTTGCAATCCCACCTCTACAGCCTTTCCTTTCAGGTATGATTTACTAATTCTTTGACTGGTTTGGGCTTCCTCTCTAACTCCTCTCTGAGTCCTCCATATTTTGTAATGTGTGGAACAGACTTTGACACTCCTTTCTAAGACCATTTCTTGTGTGAAATGTGAGGAAGAAGGGGAGGTGATGGCAGAACCTCAGTTCCCACCCTTGGCCCTTGTCCTGTCCTTTTCTCTGGTGCATTGAACACCTGCTTTTGGGGTCCTTCTTAGCTATGTGGTGATCGCCAGTTTCAGCCCCTTTAGAGAATCACCTCACATCCACAGCCCAAATGACCTTTTTTTTTTTTTTTTTTTTTAACTTTTGTTAGTTAACTTTCAGGTTAGTCCTGGTGCCTATTCTGGGTGCCTGAGCCAGGTGAGGAATAAACCACATTTCTGAAGGCCTTGCTGAAGCAACATAGCTGTCCTGGAAGCCATGCTGAACGGTCCCGGCTGGAGAGCTGTTTGACCTCGTTGACTTGAGATGATCCCAGTCAGAGACCTCAGCCTTCTCCCAGCCCTGAAGCAAACTTCCTGGACTTCCCCTAACAACCCATCCAGTTTCTTCACTGCTTTAGTTCTCTGTCAGCCAAGCACGAAGGGAAAATTTACCTTGTATACCCTGCTCTCCCTCCAGGGTCGTTAGTGTGTCTGTATCTGGGCAGCTCTTCCCTTCTGCACATTCAGAGGAAAATGGCATTCTCCTGTCATCTCCAGGCCTGCCCGAGATCATCTCTCCTCTGGCAGCCCAGTGATCTAGGAGTGTACATTCCACTAAACCTTCCCCACTTTCAGACCATCTCCCAGTTGAGACTTTATGGGTTCTTTAACTGGCTACCTCCTGGATGGAGATAACAAGATGTTGCTAGGTGTCCCCTGCTCTTGTAGAGAAGCTGAGATGTAGGGGCAAAGTCACAGTGTGAAACTGGTGAAACTAATCTGTTTTGGAGAAGCAGGGTTTGCTATTGGTTTCATATGCTGAATTCCATCACAGGACTTTGGTACAGCCATGGCAAGTACGGGCAGGGAGGAGGTAGGTATAGTATTGTGTATTGTATTGTATTGTATTGTATTGTATTGTATTGTGTTGTATTGTATTGTATTGTATTATTTTGCAGCCACATCTACAGTACCTCCGTGTTCCCAACCATTCTATGTGCCTTTCATATCCTCGTTAGTCCTCATGACAGCCCTGTGAAGTACATAATATTCCCAATTTACAGTTGAGGAAACTGAGATGCATAGAAGTTAACTTGTCCAATGTCACACAGCTAGTAAGTGGCAGAGTCAGGATTCAAACCCAGTCAGGCTGGCTCCAGAATCTGCTCTGATGCTGCATAAAAGTGGGGTAAACTCTGGCTAAGGAATCAAGAATCCTGCATGTGCTTTCACCAGGGTTGTTGCCTCCCTAGAAACTGGAAATTCAGCCCCCTGCTCTTTTCCCTCTTGCTGATCCTAAGCTCATTCACCCATGAAAAATATAGCCCATTAAGGAAACATCTTTGTAGAATCTTGGAATGCTTGTGACCGGTGCTTTGTGGGAAAGGCATGTTTCAGGTGATGATGTGGAGCAAAAAGACCGTTCTGGCTTCCTGCCCTGCCTCTGCCACCTACTACTGTATATGACATTGACAAGTGGCCTTTTCTCTGGGCCTCAGTTTCCCTGGCTGTTCCAGATGATCACTGAAGTTTTCTTTAGCTCTCATAATCTGTGGGCTCTTAGTCATTGTTTTGTCTGATTTCAGTCCACTCATAGTGACCTCTGTTGTTGACACTTACCTCATTCCAACTGGGTCCATGGCTAACTGTTTAAGTTGAGGAGTCTGGGGGAGAAGTTGGAGAGTGGGAGGGTTTGAGGGAAGAGATACCCCAGTTTCTGAATTTGGTCACCTGTGGCATCCGATCTAACAAGAGCCAAACTTACTTTCATCAATTCAATTCCAGCTGGGAGACCTGTTTGCTTTCATGGAAGGAGCAATAAGGTAAACGTTGGCATTGGTGTAAACTTCTAATCCTGATTCTACCACTTACTTTACACACTGGGTCACCATAATCATGTTACTTAATTTCTCTGAACCTCAGTTTCCTCAAATGTAAAATGCAGAAAAGGTCTACCTTATAGAATTGGAAATGAGAATGACTGAGATAAAAGTAGGCAACATATATATGAAGTCTCTAACCCAGTGCCTGATGCATAGAAGTTGCTCGCCTCTCTTCAGAGGAGAAGGGGAGAGAGTATGATTCTGGCAGTGAGGAATGCCCTCCACTTTTGGAGCTGGGAGGTTAGCATTTCTTTCCTTTCAGGTTAGTCCTGGTGCCTATTCTGGGTGCTAGATGGTTGTGACTTGTGAGACCGTGTTTTCCTGTGCTGGCTGATGCTCAGTTCTTTGGTATGGGCATAGTGGAAATCCCAAAAAAAAGGCTTGTTACGTGAGTGAACACCCTCTTTTTTTTTCTGATGATGGGAAAAGGATGGGAAGAGGGATCTCTCAGGCAGCGCCAATTTTCCTGCTGATGCTCCAGGAAAGCCATGGCCTGGGAAGTCTGAGGTGACGCAGCAGAGGGGTGGGCAGGAAGAGACCTAGGGAGGTGGTGCACCAGCGGCCCGGCCCGGGGGAGAGGCAGTGTGGAGGACTGCCGTGAGGACAAGGATGACAGGCAGGCAGACAGACGGGGGAGGGCCGCAGGGAGAAGGGGGCTCTGCCTCCTTGGGGGCCAGGGAGGGGGAGCACAGTGAGCTGAGGCTACAAGAAGGTAGAGGGAAGAAGACTTTTAGAGCAAAGACTCTAAGAGCACAAAAGAGAGAGGGGAGGGAGGGATTCAGAGGGGAAAAGGGGTGGAGAGAGAAAGAGTAGGAAGAAGTGGGAGGAGGGAAGGCGACAGATACGATTAAAAAGAGGGTGGAAGAGGAACAACTGACAGGCTCAAGAGCAAAGAGCGAGGGCAGTTGGAGAAGCAGCAGCCAGAGTGTGAAGAAGCCAACGGAAGGAAAGTCCAGGGAGGAGGAAAAGAAGCAGGTAAGAGTAGACTTGAATTTGAACAACTAAAACTACAAGTGGATATGAAGTAGCCAGAAGAGGGGAACTTGGATTCTGGGCTGGATAAAAAGAAAGCTCTTTCTTTCTACCTGTGAGTTTATTCCCTACCCCTCTCACTATTTCCTGTGATAGCGAGGTTTGGATATATTAAAAAGGAAGGTTTAGCGAAGCAGCAGATAAATTACTTCTTTGATTTAGAGGGAGCTGGAGAATTGTGAGTGGAGGGCCCTTGGGGTTCCAGCCTACTCTTGTGGAGTTCAGTCCTCTGGGGGCATCTTAGAAGTGGGTCACCAGTCCATTCCTAAGAACTTTTCTTAGAGGGAATTGGCCCTTTAAAAGTAAAACCAACACTGTTTTACGATGCTTCTGCTAGGCATGGAATCTTTTTTCAAAATGCTTTTCGAAGCATCTAGGGGACTGTTCTGCTTTTTTTTTCCTCCCTAAGGCATGTTGGATGGTTTAAAAATATTCCCTGGTTAGTTTCCTGCAGAGTATCATGTCCCCGCTGTGCAGTGGCCGCATTTGAGAGATCCAGGCTGCCACTTGCAGCCAGAGGAAAGAGGCGTGTGAAACCAGTTAGGAAGCCCAGGAAAGCGCCCACCGAAGGTCTCCTTTCCACTCGCGGTGTGAAGTAGAAGACCACGGGGCACAAAGATTCTGTTAGTTTTTTCCTGGACCTTTCTTCTGAGCAGGTAGTGAAAGAGCCCAAACTCAGGGGCTGGGAGGCCTTGTAACAGACACATCCCCATGCTGGGCCTCGGTTTCCTCATCTATAAAATGGGGAATTTGTAGTGGAAGGTTCCCTCTGGTTCTATACAGCAGTAACGGTGTGTAAGGCTGTGATTCCAGAGGCTCAAAGGCAGCTCAGAACCACTGAAAAAGGGAGGCTCAACCCAAGGATTTCTCATCTTGCTCTGTTGCTAAGTTTTTTCCTTATTCTCCCTCGCAGTATTCCATTATAATAGAGGGATTCCTGGTTCTCACTCCCCAGCAAATCACTGGGGTTGCTGTTTCTGGAAAAAGGCTCTGGCACAAAGAGGTCCAGCTGGCTGTGGGGGGAGGCAGGGCAATGGAGAGAGCACCGAACAGGGAGTCAGGAGACCTGGAACCAGCAAAATTGGAGAGAAGAGACCAAGGGGAGCGTGTGGAGGTGCAGCGCCTCTGACTGCCTGGTGCTGTGGCTCATGGCTGGGAACACCAGCTGGTATTTAGACGTCTTCTAACCTGACTTTCACATCAGCAAGCCAAGTAGCCTCCATCCCCTCCACCCACTGTCCCCAGAGTCACAGCCCAGCCCAGTCCTTGATTCACTACTCTCTAGGGACAGCTCTGAACTTTCTACCTTCCTGCCAGGTTGCCCGGGGCAGCAGAGCTGTTTGGAGCCTGCTCCCCTGGCTATCCCTCCAAGCCTTTTCCTCACTCAGCACCGGCCGGTGAGGAGTCCCAGTGACCACAGCCTGCAGAGCAGAGAGTACCAGGAGGGGATTCTGTGACTTCCAACCCAGCACTCTCTGAGCATCCCTCACCCACACATGTGACGTCCACAGAGCCACAGCAGTCACAGAATCAGGCAGCCCCACTTTGTCTCTGCCTTGGAACCCCAGAGGTGTGCTTGCTGGGCTCCTGAAGCTGGTCACTGTTCATATATCTTAACTGCCTCACTCCCGTCCCCTCTCCTAGTACTGCCTAAGGTTCGAGAACATTAGAACTTAAAGAGGTCTCTTCCATTACCAGCCTCCTTCTTCAACAAATAAGGAGAACAAGGACTAGAGAAGGGCATGACTTGTAGGAGACGACACAGTGAGTCAGGGCTGATTGAGCTGGGAGAGCACCCTGCCCTGCTCACTCATACCAAGGGTCTTCTAACCTCCATCTCACTGGCTGTATTTTCCCAGCCTCCATCTCTCCCTGAGTCTCCCTGATTCTTCCACTTGAGCGTCTCTACGATTCTATTTGTTGGTATTGACTCCCACCTGCCCACCTGCTCTTCATCGTCTGCACTGGCTGTTCGTGGGCCACAGGCAGTGCAGGGTGCTGCCACAGTGCCGCCTGGTCTCTCGGGTACTGACTGACCCCACCTCTTAGGACAGGGGACCTGTCTATGTGGATCAATCAGGACAGGAACTGGATGACCTACCATCTTCAGGGCCAGGGAGACCCAAGGTCAAAGCTCTGCCCCCTGTCCTAGGGAAGAACTCAAGATTCCAGTAGCTGTCTGTGTGAACGAACTCCCATAAGCACCAACCTGGGCTCAAGGGTTGAGCTGGACAAAGGGGAGAGATGACCATTTTCCTGGAAAGCTTCCTGGAAAGGAAGCTGACTTCCTTCCTATTGTTGCAGGCTGCTGGCTCCTGGTGATGCCAGCTTGATGCCACTTTGAGAATAAATTGTTTCTGATATATTAGCAAATAATGGGCAAGTAAAGTTTAGTATTCAACAGCCCACTGAGAGTCAGGAGGTCACAGAATCAGAGGTATTGAAAAAATCACAGAGGGATCTAAGAGTTTATCTCATTGAGGGGTACGGCTGAAGGAAGAACCTGGGCATTTGGAGTCACATTTGGCTAGGATTTTAGCTACGTGACCTTGGGAAAATTATTTAATGTCTCTTACACTCAGTTTCTTCATCTGCCAAAGATGCTAATAAATATCTTCTTCATAAGGTTTTATGAGGATTAAATAAAGTATTTTAAATGGCTATCAACTAGAAAGGCTTCCCATGACATATACTTCCGAGGAGGTATTGCTGGGTTTTTATGACCACAGATGTTTTTTCTTCTAGGACTCCTTCTGCTGTCCTCTAAGCTGGAAGTCAGAAACTTTGGACTTGCTTCTTGGCTTTGCCACTAACTTGCCATACTATCACAGCTGGGCAAGTCATAGACTCCCCAGATGTTCTAACTTAGAGATGGAAGAGCCTCAACTCTTTTGTTTCACATGTGAGCAAAGTGAGGCTCAGGGAGGGGAAATATCTTATCTAGGATCACCAAGAAACAGCTGGAACCAGAAAAGAGCTCTCTTCATGAAATGATAACATTGCATTTTCACAGGGGATTCCCAGAATCGTACTCCAATCTGACAACTCTATGATTCAGAACCTCAGGAGAGGACAGAGGTGGCTAGGGATCAAGATGTCCCTTACCCTCAGATCACGGAGTAGACAACCCCCGCTTTCTCTTCCAAGTAGAACTGAGCCTGCTTCAAACCTCTCATTGTGAGTGTGCCTTCTGCTTGGTGATCAGATTCAAGAGTGCTGCAGCTTCTCAGAAGAGAGGCATCCCATGAGGCATACATTTTATAATATGGAGCCATGTAGAGTCCAACTTCAGGCCTAAAAGCTTGAGTTAAAAACACATTAGGAGGCAGGCTGGACTTGAAACAGGAATGAGAGTGGCTTAATTTGAGTAGGCCCTACACCTCCCTGCTTCTCCAGCTTGACCCAGGAGGTCTGGATGCCTAGTGAAATAACTGATTTATAGACTAATTACTATACTTTCCATTGTCTGTATTTTTCCCATCTCTTGACAGTTACCCTCTTGTACCTGTGCCACGTGAGGGTCCTTGCTGTGTCACTAACCAGCCTGAGGCACTATCAGATTCTCCATCAAGTTGGCTAGTTGGAACATGTCTGAGAGGAGTTTTTACTGCAAATGTCAGAAAAGAAAACAAGGAACTAATATTATTGAGTGCCTATGTGCCAGATACTGTTCTAGGTGCCTCCACATGTCCACATATTATGTTATCCCCATGAGTAAACATTCCCATTTGTTAGATGAGTTAGAAATAGGGAGGATAAGTGACTTGCCTAGGGTTACACCACTAGAGAGTAATGCAAGCAGGGTCCTAGCCCTATTATTCCTTAGAGACCGGAAGTTCCTCCACCTAACAATTGCTGTTTCTGTTGTTCTTGTTATGATTTCACATCAATGGAACACCAGAGCCCGCTGTTTGGCCAGCCAAGAACCGGGCAGTAGATGCTGCTGCAGCCAAGAACACTTGCTGGCTAAAAAAGGAAATAACTTTCTATATGTGAATTCTGGCCAAATGATGGCAGAGGCCAAAGAGTCTGGGAATCCTGACTACTGTGGGCTGAGGGCCCCAGTGTAATAATTAATTCTAGGAACAGCATATGTAAGAGATGGCCAGCCAGTAAGCCAGAAGCTAAAAGGAAAAACCCTGGGTCTCTTATGAGGCAAGGTAATGTGGGAAAAGTCCTGCTCTCAGAGTTAAGAGACTGGAGTTCTGGGCACAGGCTTATCATCGTCTATCAGTCCTAGTCCTTGGTTTTCTTTCTTGTCAGAGACATAGAGAGGATGTGGGCTTTAGAGTTAGGCTAGCTGGATTCAAACACTTTATGCAGCATTTGCCAGTTGTGGCACTTAGTACAAGTACTTAGCCTCTGAGCCTCAGTTTTCTCATCTGTGAAATGGGGCAATACTACTTTCCTTGCAGGATTAATGGAAGGGTTAGAAAGTATAGTTATAAAGGGCTTCACACATCGGAAATACTCAAGTTAGTGTTGTTATCACTATTCTTAACTTCCCTGGACCCTTGTCATCTTGTTTAAAAATAAGGAGTTGAGTTTGATTGATCTCTACATTCCGGTCAGCTCTACTGCACTATAAATCTGTGACAAATGGGGGAAATAATAAAGAAATGTGGGTATTATAACAGAATTTTCATTAGCAATTAATTGCATGCATACTAAGTAACCCCCTTGGAGTAATTAAGAAGGACCTCCCAATATTTTGTTGTAACTTAATATCTCCATTTACTACTCCCTTTCATTCACTTTTTGTAAACATTTTTTCTTCCAATGGTTTAAGAAAATTATTTATCCTAGCACAAATCTTTCTTCACTTTACTCCCTTCTACTTCCTTGGCTTTGAAACAACTGTCTGCCAGCAGGGTGTCGCTGAGTGGACCCATCTGTTCTTGTCAGAATAAAATAATTAAATTTAAAAAGGAGTTAATTATCTG